GGTTTACTCAATGGATCCTTTAAAGTTGGCATTTTTGAAGAATATTTAACAGTAGATGAAAATGTTAGTAATTCCAACAGAGTAAAAAAAAGAATGTCATGATCCCAGTAATAAATTAAATATAAAGCCATTTGTGGAACATACTGGTTTAAAGCACTTAAGAAAAAAAGCCTGAATTAACTATATTAAATTATAGAGATTTTATCTCTGGGTAACTTTTTATAATTCAGGTTATTTAACAAATATTCACTGAGCATCTACCTGTTTGCCTACTGCGGTGACATGTAAGAGACAGCTATCTGTTCCTGCCCTCTGGAACTAAACATGTCATACTTTCATTACCAACCAGAAAAAAATAGAGGAGGACTGCTCACTATTTATATTCAACAAAAGGTTAAAAAAATTCCTGAAACTTCTCTGGAATCTAGATTGGAAATGATTCTGATACAAATATTTGGATAAGACTGCCCAGAAAGCTTATACTGTTGACTGTGCACTGTATCATGATACTAATTTGTTCTAGATCACTTGTGGACACAACAAGTAACTCCAGATTTCCCCTTCTCATTAGCAAATTTAAAATTTTACAGTAAATAACATTTGCTTAGTTGAAATTTAATCCTTCATTTATCATCCACCACATTCCTTTTCTCTTTTGTATTTCTTTTCCCTCCACCACTTCCTGTTTTCACCCTCAATATTTACTCCATTTGTTTAAGAAAATCTTTACACTGCTCTTCTTCTTTCACAGGGAACAGCAAGTTCAAGACTGAGCTCCCCACTTGAGGATTCACAGCAGACAGGAGCTTCAGAAGGCTCTGCAGTTTTGAAGATTACAAAAATAATCCAGGGGGGCAGTGTTGTGGCATGGCAGCTTTAGAGCTGCCTGCGGTGCCGGCTCCCCAAATGAGTCCCAGTTGCTCCTCTTCCCTATCCAGATCCCCGCTAATGCACCTGGGAAAGACCTGGAAAATGCTCCTGGCTTTGGGGAGTGAACCAGCGGATGGAAGATTTCTAAGTCTGCCTTTTGAATAAATAAATAAAATATGCAAAGTAACTTCAAAAAAGATTGGGGCCGGCGCCCTAGCTCAGTAGGTTAATCCTCCGCCTGCGGCGCCAGCATCCCATATGGGCACTGGGTTCTAGTCCCGGCTGCTCCTCTTCCAGTCTAGCTCTCTGCTGTGGCCCGGGAAGGCAGTAGAAGGTAGCCCAAGTGCTTGGGCCCCTGCGCCCGTGTGGGAGACCCAGAAGCTCCTGGCTCCTGGCTTCAGATTGGCACAGCTCTGGCCTTTGCAGTCATCTGGGGAGTGAACCAATGGAAAGAAGACCTCTCTCTCTGTCTCTCCCTCTCAATGTCTGTAGCTCTACCTCTCAAATAAATAAAATAATTTTAAAAAAACTTTAAAAAATATTAATTCACAACTTCAAAGCTATAGTGCTTTTAAAGTTCCTACTTCATAAGATGCCTCAAGTGTTTTAAAAAAAAGGTGAGAATATTGAGTAGAAGAGTGACTTATTTATCTTCATTATTCTTCACTATAATTATTTCATAAGTTTATATCATAGATTGAAAAATACTTCTAAAATTTACTAGAATTTTCAGGTCTTCAGAAGTAGTAATACAAAGTAAATTTAACTACCCAGAGCTTTACAAATTCAGCACTATAGTCTGTTCCATGTTTTCCGGCAAATTAAGAGGTTTAAACTGACAAAATGCCCTAAGTCTAAGAACACTGATAATAGGCTATGAAACACTTTTTCAGAAATATTTTCCCAGAGACTCAAATAATTGAAACTTGTAATAAAAATACATATGCAGGAATCAAAAAAGGCACTGCTGGAACATACATAGTATTAAATGCTAACTTAGAGGCAGTTATTTGGATTAATGCTTAGGATGCCAGTTAAGACATCTGCTTCCCACAACAAAGAACCTGGGTTCCATACTTGGCTCTGGCTCCAGTTCCTGACTCCAGTTTTCTACTCATGTGGGTCCTGGGAAGCAGTGGTGATGGCTCAAGTAATTGGATTCCTGCCACCCATACTGGGAGATCTGGATCGGATTCTTGGCTCCTGGCTGTGGCTGGCCTAGGCCCTGCCATTGTGGGCATTCAGGAAGTGAACCAGCAGATAGGAACCTCCTCTTAAATTTCAAGTGCTAACTTAGTGTTGTGATATCTAAAGCAAAGGCTCAGAGAATTAGCTGACATAATCACTGATAATTATTCATTCATTCATCAAATTTTGAGAAAGCACTTACTCTGTGCCTGCTATAATTCTAGGTACTATCAGAGACCTGTGAACAAAACAGATAAAAAATGCCTGCCCTCACGAAGCATTTTAGTGGACTGAAATAAATAAGAAGAAATTGAGTAAAACATTGTTAGACGATGATAACTACAAAGAAAAAATGAGTAAGAAAAAATGAAGAGGATGCAAAATAAGAAGGAAAGGAGTGAGCCGTGTAGTTGTCTGGGAAGACACTTTTTCTTTTCTTTTCTTTTTTTTTTTTTTTAAGTTTTATTCACTTATTTGAAAAGCAGAATTACAGAGATGCAGAGGCAGAGGCATAGAGAGGTCTTCCATCTGCTGGTTCACTCCCCCAGAAGGCTACAACGGCTGGAGCTGCACCAATCCAAAGCCAGGAGCTTCTTCCAGGTCTCCTACAAGGGTGCAAGGGCCCAAAGACTTGGGCCATCCTCACTGCTTTCCCAAGCCGTAGCAGGGAGCAGGATCGGAAGTGGAGCAGCCAGGACTCGAACTGGCGCCCACATGGGATGCCGGCACTGCAGGCGGCTGCTTTAGCTGGTATGCCACAGCACCAGCCCCAAGGGAAGACACTTTTTCAATAGAGGAAATATCAGGAACAAAGGCCCCAAGATGGGAAGCTGCTTATTGTATTTAAGGAAAAGCAAGCAGGCCAGTGGGTTAGAGCAGAATGAGGGCAGGGAGGAGCAGAGAAGGGAGAGGTGGAGGGAAGGCCCTTCAGGTAAGGATTTCATGGACAGGCAGGACCGCAACAGGTCGAAATGGGAGGGACTGATTCTGGGTAACTAGAACAAAAGAAAGCAAAGGACGAGGAGACACGGTTGTCTTAAGGATATTTACAAATCCAAGACTGGCCTAGAATGCAGTAAGTATACTCTAAGTGAGAGCACAAATGTGAGGGTAGGGGACTATATATATGTTGGGGTGATGTTGTGAAGGTGGGGTGTAACAAATTAAGTCTCTGACTGTTCAGGAGACCCACAGAGAGACAGAGGGCAGGGAAGCATCAGGATAAGAGGCAGGCATTAACTGCCTCTTCAATACAACCTGTGCTTTCCCTGGTAAGAATAAAACTCTGTTCCAGATAAATTGCTTTAGTTGCTCTATCTATAAAGAAAAAAGGTGGTGGTCTTGAGATCTCTGCAGGGAAAAAGAGTCCTTAAATTTTCTAGTAGTAGGGAGAAAACCATTACTGGAATTGAGACTGCTGTATAACATAATCTAAGCCAGTCTAATGCATGTCGAAACATAAGACAAAGATGACTAAAAAATGGGACTGAGAAGGCAAACAGGAATTTCAGTTTTTAAAGGAACATTCCACAAGCTGAGTAACACATGGATAAACTAGGAATTTAATCAGATCTAGTTTTACATAGAAAGAGAATTCTGTTGGCTACCCATTTTGCATTCAAAGGTGTTCACAGGGAGAGAGCTGGGACTCTGCAGACAAATCAGCAACTTAGCAAGTGGAAGGGTGCTTAGCACAGATAACTCAAATGCCCATTGTTCACATTAAAAAATCTTCCACTGCAGTTCATCTCAGAGAATTAAACAGTGCCAGAGCTATCATAACCACCTTGAATCGTTACTATTAACAAAGAGGAAATTAAACAAAAGCAAGTAAATAGGAAAAGGGGATGTTTCCTGTCTTATTGCCACCTGTGCAAAACAAGCGACCCCCCCCAGAGGCATCTACCAGTTAATTACCCACACGATACAGTCATTTCAACTATGTGCAGGCCTGTGGTTTGAAAGAATGGTGTACATACTCTTAAACTATGACCAAATCCAATAAACCAAGAAGCTGTTGCAAAAAGTAGAGGAACTTTCCCTTAATACTCATGAGTTACATTAATGCTTCCTTTTTGGAACAGAGAACAAAAAGCCTAAGGCAATCTCCAACAATCTCTTTCCTCTGGATTCTTCAGGAACATAGTGTACTTGGGCAACTGGTTTGCTTTTCTACCACGTTTTTTAAATCCTAAATTAAGAGGAATTCGTTCTCATCATTTGTTTTAAATTAACAGAAAGTGCACTGGCTGGAGAGTGCACGCACACGCGTGAACACAGACACACACACAAACACAACCTGTAGATCTTATCCACTTGTGGTTATGGGATGTTATAAACCCCAAACAGAGAAAGTGCTAATGCAGGAAAAAACCCAGCAAGTTAATGGTAGGTTTTGAATCACCAACCAGACACAAACCATCAAACTTATGCCAGGAAAGCTTATCTTTTCTGCATGGAGTAATGTTTGTAAACACATCATTTTCACCCAACACTTGATTGCTTACAGCTAGAATTAAGAAACAGGTTTCACAGGACCATTAACAACAACAACAAAAAAAAAACTTATATTGGCCAAGCTCATCCATTAATTTTTTTTTGTAATGCCTGAACGTCAATATTCTCTGCTACTGTCTTCCAGGTTTTCCACACTGACACTAGAATATTCTACCGGACAACTCCATAGCTGATTCAAAGTCGCTTCAAAACCAGAAATAAACTTTTGAAAGTCTTTACACCACAAAAAAGGTTAAGAGTGGTTTGCGACGATGTGGTTAGCTCTGCTTGCTGGCGGCGCCGAGAACCAGCAGGGGATTCGAGGGTGCTCCGAACGCAGGGAGAGGGACCCTGGCCGCTTCCTCTCCAAGATGCAACAATAAGAGCATCCTCCCCCCGGCCGGAAAGCGGCCGGAGCCCGGCGGCCGCGGCCCGGCCTGCCTCACCTTATAGACGTCCCCGTACGTGCCGCTGCCGACTCTCTGGACGAGCTCGTAGTCCTGCTGCGGGTTTCGCCTCAGGATGTCCGCGGCAGGCCGCAGCGGGGCCTCCATCTTCGCTCCGGGCCCGGCTCCCGCCGGCTCTGCCCGCGGCGCGCCCCGATTCCCGCTAACGAGGGCGAGCGCCGCCGCTTCCCAACATGGAGCCTCCGCCCGCAGCTCCGCCTGCACGAGGGACGCGCGAAGGCGGGTCAGCGTCGCCGGCTGCGACCCCCACGCGGCCCGCGCCCCCGTGGTCCAGCCCCTTTCCTTCCGTCCCGCCCGGGGCCCTGAGGAAGCGAGCCTGGAAGGGCTCCCGGCGCCTCGCGGCCCCGTTCGGGCCACAGCCCTTCCCCCACTCCCCGGCCGCCGGCGAACTGCCCGGCCCGGCCTCCCCCGCCCGCCGGAGCCCGGGGCCGGCTGGGTACCTGAGGGGGGCGGCCCCACTCTTTGTTGAGCGCCGAGCCGGGGTGCCCACTCCCTCAACGGCGCCCGCGTCCTGCTCCCCGGCCCCGGCGGCCGCTCCGGGTCTCTCGCCGCAGCCGTCGCCGCCCGCCCGCTCGCTTGCACCGCGCGCCCTCTCGGAGGCGGCCGAGGCGCGTACAGTCGCCGCCGCCGCCGCCGCCGCCGCCGCACCACGTTCCCCACCCGGGGCTGCGTCACCGGGAGACACGTTCCCGGCCAGCGTGGGTCGGCGCCCAGCGGCCCGCCCGAGCGCGCCGGCCGCGGGACCAGAGTGCCGCCCTGAGGCCGGCGGAGGACACGACACCCTCCCGGCCGCGCCGCCGCGCCCCCCTAGCCCGGCGCGTCCTTCCAGGGCCTAGCTCGCTCGCTCCTGCCGCCGGAGACCCGCACAGCACGGCACTCGGGGGCCGACGGGCCTCCGTTAAACCGTCCCCAGAATCGTCAGGTAAACCTGGGCGGTGACGGGTGCAGGGAGAAGGGTGGGCACGAGAGGGGCAGGCAGCCCTCCACCTTCAACCCGGAAAAGGTACGTTGAGGGCACCGGGCCAGGGGTAACCTGGCGGTGGGGCGCCGGGGAGGGCCGAGTTAGCCGAGCCGCGGCACGCCCTACTGCACCTTCCTGTTTTGCAAAGCATTCCCAGTGGTGCCAGTTTGAGGTTGCACCGCACACCTGCACAACCTGTCTGGTGCTGAGCTTTTCTGAGCCGTTGCTGAAAGCCTGCCGCCCCAGGAGGCTGCGCCCGGCCCCCGTCACCCTTTTGGGCACAGCCCTGGGTTGTCGCATATCTCGTGGCTGCAGGAGTTCTGCAGGGGGGTGGGGGAGAGGGCTGCGACCAAGTCAGGGTCCACAGAGCCTGGTTCTGGTTCTCCCGCTTGGATGCCATCGGGGACAGGAGGTGGTGTTTGGCAACATCTCGGTGCCCTTATCTGCAGTTTTGAAGAGGATAAGGTGTTTTCCATCTGACACCCTAGAAAGTGTTGGTACAGCACTTCGCAGCGTTGTGAAGAGGGTTATCAACTGTGAGAGGTTAAAACTACTTGGCAGCGCGCAGAACATGGAACAGGCAGCCAGGGACGTCATTGGGCCGGTGTTTTCTCACAAGTTGTTTTTTGCAGTTTCGGTTCCAGTCTGGCTTGGGAGATAGAGATTCAGTTGCCAGCTTTCTGTATGCTGCAGAAGTTATTCCGTGAACCCAGCAGAGGTTTATAACAGAAGAGCCAGATAACAGGCAGCGCTCTTAGTGACCGGAAAATCGCCAAAGAGTAAATTGCAGATGTTGGCACGTGGCTTTTAGCACCCACCTCAACCCTGTTCCTGGGAAGTAGGTGCCTGATTGTTGGTCGTTGAAACCAGTTGTATGATGTAGAAAGTAAATCGAGGCTTCTACAGGACAGGGGATACATGGATTTTCTTGGGCTTTGCACACAAAGGCAGTTATTTAGGGCACATAAGTAAGCCCAGACATAACATGCTCCATGGACAAAGCCCGTGTGTTTGCTGCATTGAAAAAATTGTTGAAGAACAGTTCTTTCTTTCAGAGCTTCTTGGCACTCGTTTTGGTGGGCACATATTCTGACTTCGATGACTCAAAAATCTCTTCAAATGTTCTGTTGGTGTCTTAGTACTTGTTTACTGTCATTGACTTCTTTTTTAAAAGAAAATCTGGCCTGATACGTTGATTCTTTCTCTAGTCAGAAATTCATTTCTTCTTTCTTAGACCTGTATTAGTCCACAGAGAATTTGAGGCAGCACACAGAAAATTTAAACCGTAGGACAAAAAGTAAGTGAAGAAACTGCTCTGAAGTTAAAAAGAGGGAAGATAGGACATCTGAGCAAGGCAACAAATTGGCTGCAGCAGAGAATTTTTGTACTGTTTTGAGATCAGATGAGCCCGCTGATCAAGAGAGGCACATCGTTTCCTGATGTTAAGGCTGCGGAAAAAATAGAAGGAGAAACTCTGAATGCTCAGTTTGAGACAAGGTGAATACCCATCTGACAATCCTTTAAGCATGTTATTCTTGAAACACAAGGTTTAAATAAATTAGGCCGTAAAAGTTTGAGGTTGGGGCTTCAGCAAAACCCTGGAGTGCAGATATTTTATGCTACCAGTAATGGCAGATCCATACACTTTGGCCATCAGCTTAGAGGCAGATAGCATGGAAAAAGTCAAGATTTCACATGGTAGTTTAAAAAATGTGCCTGCTATAGTCATTACTTTTCTTGTACCACAACTGGTGCTAAGGGGAAAAACATTCACTCCTACTAACTCCAAAAGAATCTGAAGGATTTTTTTTGGTCCTGGTTGAGTTAATTTTAATAAGATCAGTGAAGTCATAGCTGGTGGATTTAACATTACATGGTTGGAAAGAGAATTCATATTTGTTTTCATTAAACACAGTAAATTTAATTTTGTAACTTAAACAATTAAGCATTTAATTTTAAGGTTTAAATTTATGTAATAATAAATCACTGTCCGTAATAGGACAGTTTCTTAAGAACTTAAAATTTTATAATGACAGAGTATTGAGTAAGAGGAAGTAATGCTTGGTAGGTCCATCAGCCCAACCTAATTATCATGTAGTTTTAGTGTCTTCATGTTATCTGATATGCAAATATTTTCCAGTTTTGTTTAAATATAACTATCCTGGTTTGCTCTGTACTTCACAGTATTTTTCCCTTCTTTCAAAGTTCGGCAATAGCATGCTAACTGTAATCAGTGGCTGTATTAGTTTAAATTCTGGTTTTATAAAGGCTAAACAAAAAAGGGACGTAAATTTTTAAGTCTTCTATAAAGCTGAGGTTCACAATTTACTATACAAGAGAAAATGGATAATTAAAATCTTTAAGTGTGTGATAGGACAGAACATATGAACAGTAGTTTTAGTCTGTGGAACATATAAGTTTAAGCAAGATAAGCCGATGAGTCTTGGAACAAAACTACTTGACAGATGTAACTGTGATTCAATTGACTGCTCTATAGATTTATTAAATGAATTAAATGTTGGATTTTTCAAATAATTATTATTAAACTCTTCTTTCTGTTACTACTTAGGGCCACTTTTCTGTTGAGGCAAGAACCAGGTATCCAAAATAGAGAACAATTGTATTCTATTCTGCATAGCAGTAGAGCATGGATCTCATTCAGAGTCAGTATCAGGTCATTATGATGGGAGTTTTAAACAGAAGAGGTGAGGAAAGCCAGGCGCATCCCTTTTTTTATCCAGCTTGAATTGATCTTAAGATATGTTAAGAAGCTGTTTCTATTAACCTTTGTCCTCAGGTTGTTATATTAAAGCTTATAAAGAATTGGTAGAAGGGTTCTATATTCTGCCCACAAGTTGGTTGTTTGTATATTCAATAGCTAAGAGAAGATAAAGAGTTACAAATAATCTTATGCTGTTCATTATCAGTTTCTTCACATTGTAATAGATACTGTGTTCAGAAGCGGTGCCTAAAGTTTGCCTGTACCCCAAGAATACTAGTGCTGTGGGTAGAAGAAGCCAAAATGCCCAACTGTGGTCCTGTCCTACAGCTGTGTCGCTGGTGTAGGATTCCAGGAAACTTCTTCCTTTTGCACCTGCAAGGAAACACGGATAATGGCTTCTCACTGCTGCTGTCTCAGGGTCCTTCACATCCCGTGTGGGTTGCCTTACCCCTGTTCTCGTTTATACAAATATTCCTTTGACCAGGTCATCTTTCTGTGGTTTTTCTTCCCAGAACTGTGATTGATTCAGTTGTAGAAATTGGAAGTAGGCCCAGAAAAAAAGACCCTTGAAATGGCTTTCTGGTATGTTATCACATACCTGATGATGAACTGGGTAACTTACTTGTCAAGGAAAATGGAACCAGGGGTATTGCATAGCATGGAGTGGCATTCCAATAACTATGAGTAGTGGCACGAGATGGAATGCCAGTGGGGGCACAGGGTTGGAAGATCAGTCGCCAGTACTCAGCTGCTAGGACAGTGGTGTTATTACAAATAGACAGTGATGTCAAGACAAAACGGAGAGTCTTGAGTTCCAGACTTAAGGCATGAGAAAACTTCTTTGGTCTCTTTGAAGAAATTCATCTTCTCCTGCAGCTGCTGGGCATTTGTGACTGAAGGTAAAACCCAGGTGAAGGCTACAAAATTGCAATGTTAATGAAATGAGAGACTAGTTCTGTTCTACTAAAGTAAGAGCATTGGGGGTGAACTTCTGGGACCCTGTGACATGTGATAGATATATTTGAGCAGATATGCAGGAAGCTGGGAACTTTGAACAAGAGTTAGCTAGAGTTTCGGCATAGCCCTGATGGGAGTACAAGTCTGCTCTTGGAGAAGAGAAGTTAGAGAATCTTGCCAAATACTTACCCAAGATTCAAAATTGATGTGTAGACTTGAACATTTAGTTCTTTCACCTGGGTTACTTGAACGTATTCCTAATAATAGCTTACATTCTCTATGATGAGATACCAGAATGTCTCGGATATACTTAAACAGAGGAATCTGAAGATTCAGGGAGATGGGACTGTTGAACTTGCTCTTTTATGTGCATCCTGTTTGGAGTCTACTATATTTACTTTTTTAAGAAAAATTATTTGTATTGTATTTGAAAGGCACTAAGACACAGAGAGGAGAGAGAGAGAGAGGAGGAGAGAGATTGAGATTTTCCATCCTCTGCTTCACTCCCCAAATGCCCACAACCACCAGGGCTGGGCCAGGTTGAAGTTTGGAGCCAGGAATTCCATCCAGATCTTCCATAGGAGTGGCAGGGACACATATATTTGAGTCATCATCTGCTGCCTTCAGGGTGCACATTAGCAGGAAGTGGGATCCAAAGTAGAGAAACCAGGATTTGAACCAGACACAGTCACTACAATATGAGATGCAGGCATCTTAGCTGCTGTGCCAGACACCCCCCACCGCACCACCACACACACACACACATACCCCACCACCACCATGAGTGTTTGCTTTTATTAATAAATTGAGTGGAGCAATATAAATATTTTTGAAAAGTTCTTTGATGACTGTCTTCAACAGGTTGAAAATGATGATCCGGATTCCACAATGGGAGATCCATGATTTTAGTGGGACTGTTGAGATTCTGGTAGATGCCATGTGGCTTCACTGTCAAATACATGG